GTTCCAGTAGATGAAGAACTACTTCACATGTACGAGCGTTTAAGGCCGTGAGAACATTTCAATGAGGTGGAAATAACGGCTCCTTCACATCTGCAGATTTGATCTCGTAAGTGAAGGACCTTGCTAGTGGAGTAGGGAATAAGGATTGAATCTAAAAGATAGGATTTAAATGCCCTATTTAAATAAGAATTTAAATTTTAAAAATAATTTTTTTAAAATGTAACTGAGCTTAAAGGTTTCGTCCTGATAAATTTTGTAAAAAAGGCCTCCAGCCCAAAGGGTCTTTTAAACCAAGTTATATTATTATTAATCTTTTTTCTTTAGTGAAACATATGTTTGAAATCAAGAACTTGTTCGTTTGAAACCCTAATCATACACCCGTTATATTATTATTAATTTTAATTTATTTTAAAATTAATTTAATATAATTTAATAAATATCAGTGTATAATATAAAATTTTTGATATTTTTTATTTTTTTATAATTATTATGTTTGTATATTTATAAAAAATAAATGATTTTTTAATCAAGATTTAAATTTCATTACTAGACTTCTAAATGTGTGTAGTTTAATTTCTAAAAAATTATGAGAATTTTAATTTTTTAATTTCAAAATATTTTAATTAATTTGTAATGCTTAATTTTATTTTTTTTCAGAACAAGACTTGCGAGCCCAATCTTAAACCCTTCAAATAAGGGTCGAGTTTTAAAAAAATAGTGAAAAATTAAAAATCAAGCTTAAGAGCTCAAGCCCTTATGGGCCAAGGTCGCCCCTTTCTCAGCTCTACTTGTAGAGGTGGGAATAATGACTGAGCCTAGAAGCCCTATTTAAATAAAGGTTCAAGCTTTAAAAATAATTTTTTTAAAGTAATTGGGATTGAAGGCCTAGTCTCGATAAGCCCTGTAAAAAAAGATTCAGACCTGGACAGCCCTTCAAGTCTTGTTATATTATTATTAATCTTTTTTTTTTGTAAAACACGCATTTAAAGTTAAGGATTTGCTCGCCTGAAGCCCTAATTCTACACACATTATATTAGTATTGATTTTAATTTTTTTAAAAGTTGATTGATGTTGAAATTGTTGACTGCTTTGTTGAGGATGCTGAAATTGTATGTTACTTTCCAATATCTGCTTCTTCATAACTTCGAAACTACTCCCCTTACTAGACTCAATTGTTAGGATGGGTTGACTTACAAGTTATAGAGGCTTTGCAATCTCAAGCAAATCATTAACCTGCATATAAGGATATTTTTGGATAAGAGCTAGGGTACTCTCATAAGAATAGGTGTGGAAGTGATGGGGTGGATGGTAGTGTGATCATTGCTTATTATATGTCGGGGAACTTCCAAAGGGGTAATAGTGAGAATGATAAGGGGCCAATTCAAATGGTTGTATCATTACCTATTCAGCAAGTATTTGTTTGACAATATAGGTCAACTCATCAATTTTTCTTTTAAAACTATGAATATCATGATAAAGCATAGATGGAGAAAAATCAGTATCAAGGTGATAATCATTCCAAGCTATCTCTACAGCCAAAATAGAATCACTCAAATTAAAAAAAAAAGAAATATAAAATCCTCTCAAGTATATGATCAAAATAATAAAAAAAATTTAGGTAGACCCTGTCCTCACTAAAATAAAAAAATAAAATAAAAGAAACTCCCTAGAATGAAAGTAAGGAAAAAAATGAAAAAATTAAATCTAGAAAAAAAAATGAAAAATAACTTAAAATTTGAAGAAAAAAAAATAGAAAGAGCACAAAAAAAATCACATAGAAAATTCTAATGAATGAGAAAAAAAATTAAAATAAAAATTAACAATCAAACTCAAACAATTAACACCTCTGACTCTCCGACAATGGCGCCAAAATTTTGACACTACTGTCAAATAGTACCAAAATTAATAAAAATTAAATTTTGCAGTAAAACGCAACCTAAGTCGTTTCCTTAAGAGTCAATAGAGTAACTATTTAAATTATGGTTATGAAAAGGTAAATGATGGGGTTTTTTATAATAAAATTAATTAAAAAATCTAAATTAAAATTAGATAAATAAAGAAAATTTAACTGAAAAAATTATCAAGAATAAGTAGCACAATCAATCACAACTCAATCACTTAAACTTAATCTTACTCATCCACAAATTAAATTAATTTTATTTAACTTTATTATTTTAATTTTATTATATATTTTTTAAATTATCATTCAAGAATTAAATAAGAAATTAAGTTATAGATTAATTGAAATCTCCTTTAACCCACAACCTAACAACTGTTTCATATTAGTCACACTAAAAATAAAGTATGAGCAATCACTCAAGTCAAGTCAAATTACTCTTAAATTAATATATCAATTGATTATAGCAAATAAAACTTTAAATAAAATTTATAACCCAAAAATTATATAATAAAGTTACTCTAATAACAATAGCAGTTAAAACATAAAATCAAAGGTAGAGAGAAGACAAGAAAATTAGAATAAAGCTAAAATAAAATTTTTTCTGAATATTAAAGACTGTAATTAAAATTTAGGATTATAGTTTGTGACTAATCATATTAAAAAAAAGTAGCTCTCCATAAAATTAAAAATAAAACAGCAAAGTCGCCTCTCATTATTTTTTTTTTGTCCAAGTCCTCCTCCTTCGTGCTGTGTGTTTGCTATATATATGAGTGATGATTTTGCATACTGTTCTGTGTCTCTCTTTCAATTCAAATCACAGCGTGTGAGGCTTTTCTTTTTAAATAAAAAGAATGATGCGCCCTGTATGTGCTTTTAAAGCAAAATTGCTAATAATTTAATAAAATAATAAAACTATTTTAGATAATCCCAACTAAAAACTACACTAAATAACTTAAAATAAATTTAAACAAAATTTTAAAAATTTAATTATTGATTTGATCTTCAAGTATATCTATATTTTTCTTATCTAAAATAATCTTCATCAATATCTTTTAAATTGAATCTAGAGCACAAATGGAATAAAATTAAATAGCAATTGTGCAGAACTATTAAGGATATTATTTATATTTTAAAATTAAAGATTTAGATAGTTAAAATTTTAAAACTGAATATTGGCTAATAAAATTAAATAATATTTAATTAAATTCAATTAACCTCAAATAAATATTTAAAAGTATAAATTAAAAGGATAAAGATATATAAAATTTTCATTTATCATTTTTAATATAATTTAAGAAATAATAGTGTATGGTATAAATTTTTTAATATTTTTTATTTTTCTATAATTATTGTGTTTGTGTGTTTATAAAAAATGAACTATTTTTAACTAAGATTTAAATTTTATTATAAGACTTCTAAATGTGTGTTATTTAATTTCTAAAAGATTATGAGGATTTTAAATTTTTTTAATTTCAAAATATTTTAATTAATTTATAATACTTAATTTTATTTTAATTTTTTTTAAAATAGGAGCTGTGGTCTTAACTTTAAGCCTTTCAAATAAAGGTCGGGTTTAAAAAAAGGAGTAAAAAATGGGAAACTCATTTCCCAACTCTAGTTCCAGATAAAACCTCTACAATTAACTGCATCATGAATGTTATTAAAGTTATCAGTATCCAGCCTAACCCATCCTTCTTCAAGGGTAAACCATCTAACTATTGTTCTATCGCTCTTTTGGGATAAGAAGTTAATTTTAGTTTGAAGGTATTAGTCTTTGAGTATATTTTGAATGTTAGTGAAAGTAATGTTTTTGTCTTCAATGTCTTCTCTAGAATATATATTTGGGAAAATGATGTTAAAGTCTCGCACAAAGAAATTAATTACTGCAAGATCCATTGACAATTGGACTAAACTGCATTGACAACACAACACAACCAGTTGTCAATGCAATTTAGTCAATTGTCAATGGACCTTACAATAATTAATTTTATTGTATGGGACCTAACTATAATTCTCCCTATATATTTTTCCACTTTTCCTTTCATATGTTCCAACACACATGAACATAGAGTCTCTATTGAGAGGTTTTCCTTGCACATACATTGCACACATCATTCTCCATATTTCAAATTATTCAATCTCATAAAGGAAGAAAAAAGAAAGTATTAAGTTTAGATTGTACAACTATTTTTACCCAAACCTCTCTAAATTTTTTACAATCTCTTAATATATGAATGGTAAAATTTAAAGAGTTATATCCAAATGGGCATATCTTGATACAAACATTGCCCTTATTAGAACATGTGAATTTGGATTAAAGATAATCCCAAGCCGCTTTCTCGAAGAAGGATTTAACTTTCTCCTAAATAGGCTATTTTCATATCTTAGACTATATCTTAAAGTTGTTACTGTCGCAATGATTTTCAATAGTCTTATATGTAAATTTAATGATAAAGCTGCCATCATTACAAAACCTCCAACATAAAATATCGTCATCTACATTAGATTTTGGAAGTTGAACAACAATGATATAGTTAATAACATTCAGATACAAATATCTACACAATTGATCAATATTCTATTTTCTTGTCTCAAAGCAAAAATCAAAAACTTTCGCATATGAAATAAAATCTACCTTAGAAAATGCATACTTTATAAGGAATTCAAGAAAGGAACACCATTTATCGAACCAATAATATTTGTTCCCCCTCCCCTACCTTCCAGCCCACATGACACACGTACAGGGTCCTTAATCAAAAATGAACTTGAATTGGAGACTCTTATCGGGAAGAAATGAGCTTATAAAAAAGATACTTCCCGATAAGCCCTTAAATTGCAAAAACATGGCCTTTTCCAACCAAAAAAAAGTTCAAAATTGAAGAAATTAGACATCCTCCACATCATCAACAATTGAAATGACAGAAAGTAAAGTTTCCCTCCATTGTCCCAGCAGTACAATTTCGTATTTAGATCAGTCTTTCTGATTTTCTTTAAAAAATAGTGAAATCATGAAATAGCATCGAATATCTAAATCTAATCTTTGCAATCTGGCACTCAATCCAATGACAGTCAGGGGTTGGTACCCTTTAAAACACAGATGTCAAACTTGAATGCCGAACTAATTGATTCAGAAAAACCTAACAAGTACATAAGACAACAATCACCTTAGGATACGGAAATATACAAATAAAATGAGAAAGACGGTCAGATGACAGCGTCCTCTAAGCCCGCTCGCCTCTAATTCTCCGAGCGAGTTGAATGTCCTTAGGCATAATGGTCACCCTCTTGGCATGGATCGCACACAAATTGGTGTCTTCAAACAACCCCACGAGGTAGGCTTCGGCAGCCTCCTGAAGCGCGGCCACGGCACTGCTCTGGAACCTTAGATCGGTCTTAAAATCCTGAGCAATTTCTCGAACCAAACGCTGAAATGGGAGCTTGCGGATCAAGAGCTCAGTGCTCTTTTGGTACTTTCGAATCTCTCTCAAAGCCACGGTTCCAGGCCTGAATCGGTGGGGTTTCTTGACGCCGCCGGTGGCTGGAGCCGACTTCCGAGCAGCTTTGGTGGCCAGCTGCTTGCGGGGGGCCTTGCCACCAGTAGACTTGCGGGCAGTTTGCTTAGTTCGTGCCATTGTTGAAATTTGAAAATCAGATAGGAGATGCTAGAACTGATTGGTAGCGAGAATGGGGGGTTGAGTCGGCGTTTTTATGGTTGAGGTTTTAGAGGGCCTGGAGATTGAAAGTTTGGCGGTAGCGACGACTTGGGTTTTCGAAATTTGAATAAGAGCCACGGATTAGGACTAGATGGACGGCCAGGATTCGATTGTGACAGGAGCACGCGGATTGCAGCTTTCTTAACTTTGCCCTTTCGAGCTCTACGGGCTGCCCGAGGAGCCGTGCCCCCCGGCAGCACCGCTAACTCTTTTTTCCTTGAAAAAATTGGATACAGTTTTACACGGTAGACTTATTTACAAATTTCCGCCCAAAAAATTTTATTTATAAATAAATTTTAAAATTTAAATATCACAAGTTTATTGAAATTTAAGTGTAATTTAAAATTAAGATATAAAAATAATAATATCTTTATTAAAAAATATATTATATTAATTAAATAATTCATAACCATTTTGTCAATAATTTATAATTGTCAATTTAATGTTTTACAATTATAATTTTATATATTCAATAGTTAAAATTAAAGTACAATACAAGTTTAATATTAAATATATATAACTATTTTATAAAAAAATTAGAATGATCACTTTAACATTTTATAGTTATAACTTTACATGCATTTAGTGTGTTATTAGTAAAATTTATCACTAATTATTTACGACAATCTCATTAGTAATTCACAACTATCATTTCAATATCTTACAATTATAACTTTATATATATAATAGTTAAATCAATCATGTGTTATTTAAAAAGTTCAATATTGATTATTTTATAACAAACTGATCACATATCTAATGCTTGAGTGATCCTATAATTATTAAAAATACATTATCAGTTTAACTATTAAATCTGTGACACTACAATTATAAAAAATTGTAATGATAATTTTAAATTATTAATGGGCTAGTTGTAAACAATTTTGTGTTGAGTTTGCTAATAATGCATAATCAATTTAACTATTAAATATATAAAATTATAATTATAGATTACTTATATAATAAGTGTATACAATTGGTGTTAAAATTATATCTATTCATCAGGTACTAGAGCTCTAATGATCAATTAAATCATTAAAGGTGGTCGGGGGGTTTGAATCCTATACCCCTTGGCCACCCAACAAAATAATGACTTTTGAGCCATCAATATACTTTAATTATAGTGTGCCAAAAAATGGTGTGTGTAATAGATTTAATAATAGGTCAATTACATGTGACGTGTTCTAAAGAACAAGTTATTGTTTGAAGAAAAAAAATAAACCATCATTTAATTTTAATAAGCATCAATTTCATAATTAATAATAAGTCCATAAAATAAACTTGATGAATAAGTCATCATTAAGGGATCCTCGTTTCATTTTAGCAAATAACAAGTATCAATTTTATAATTAACAAGTTTATAAAATTATAATTTTGCTTGAGATAAACTAGTGATAAAATTTGGTGAAGGTGCCATCGTTTGGAAAAAGGCAAGTTCCCCATTCCATTTTAACGAGCATCGATTCTATACAACAACAACAACAACAAGCCTTTATCCCACTAGGTGGGGTCGGCTACATGGATTGCAAGACGTCATTGTGCTCTATCATTTATTAAGCTTTTAGAAATATTATTAATTAAGAGATCACGTTCAACAACTTCCAAGAGTGTTCTCTTAGGCCTTCCTCTACCTCTCTTAATCGGACTCAAAGTTATATGTTCCACTCTTCTCACTGGTGCCTCCCTTGGTCTTCTTTGTACATGCCCAAACCATCTCAACCGATTTTCTACCATTTTTTCCTCAATAGGTGCCACCCTCACTTTTTCACGTATGTGCTCATTTCGAATTTTATCTTTACGTGTATGTCCGCACATCCATCGTAACATTCTCATCTCTGCTACTCCAACTTTATGCTCTTGCTGTCCCGTTAGAGCCCAGCATTCACTACTATATAACATTGCCGGTCTGATAGCAGTACGATAAAACTTTCCTTTAAGTTTATTAGGCACCTTACGGTCACAAATAACTCTTTTAGCTTTTCTCCAATTAAACCACCCAGCTTGAATTCTATGTGAAATATCTCCACTGATTTCGCCATCATTTTGGATAATGGCTCCCAAATATCTAAACTTTTCCACTTGTGGTATAATTTGATCTCCCAATTTCACTTCCAAATTATTTTCGAATAGTCCTTTATCAAATTTACAATATAAATATTCCGTCTTACTTCTACTCAGACGAAAACCTTTCGACTCCAATGTCCTCCTCCATAACTCAAGTTTGCAATTAACCTCTTCTCTTGTCTCTGCTATAAGAACTATATCATCCGCGAAGAGCATACATTTCGGGATTTCCTCTTGAATATGTTCCGTCAAAACATTTAAAATCAAGTTGAACAAATAAGGACTCAGAGATGATCCCTGATGTAGCCCAATCTTTATAGGAAAATCCTTTGTTTGACCACTAGGCGTTCTTATACTAGTTTTTACCCCCTCATACATATCTTGTATGGCTTTAATATAAGCAATCCGTACTCCCTTTTTTTCCAACGCTTTCCAAAGCACTTCTCTTGGTATACGGTCATAAGCTTTTTCCAAATCAATAAAAACCATGTGTAGATCTTTATCTTTACAACGATACTTTTCCATTAATCCCCTTAGTAGATAAATCGCCTCTGTAGTTGATCTACCTGGCATAAAACCAAATTGATTCTCAGAAATACTTGTCTCCAATCTCAACCTGAACGAGCATCGATTCTATAATTAACAAATTCATAAAATAATATATCACAACACTTGTTTTTCTCAAATAAGGTAATTATTTTATAGACCTCATAATCACGAGGTAGATGTTTGCTAAAATGGAATAGTGACTCCCCCTTTTTAAATTATGACTGGTTCAATGGATAATGACATTTGTCAACAAGTCAATGTAAACAATAAATTTACAAATTTAATTTTTCATGGTACGAACAACAAATACCAGGCGTATTAGAGATATTAAATTTCAATTGACAACAAAAAAGGTCCTGAGCTCCCTTATCTTAGTCCTTTTGGATGTAAAAAATACACAAGGCTTTGATAAAATAAGTGTTTGATTTTTATTGAAATACGAAGTGTTATAAGTTTAGATTGAAAGTAAAACTAAACTAATAAAACTAAAGGTTAAAGGTGCAAAATGTGAGTTTTTGATTGAATATTGATTGTCTTTCTTTCGTGTCTTCATCTTTTATTTATAGTGTCATAGTAGTAGTAGCCTCTTCCTTAAGATATAGAACATTTTGCTAAAGAATCAGGGATCATGTGAAACTCATGGCATGGTCTTTATTCTGTATTTTTTTTTTGTAATCAGCATGTCTCACCGAGATACTTGAGCACGATGTCCATGAATTTTGAAATTACTCAGGATCGTGTCTTTATGTGCCAACGGTCCATTTTTTGTAACTGGTAAAATTCCGGTATGTTTACTTTATCGTGGCCTTTATTGAGTTTTGAGGCCAGCCCTTTTATTCCCATTGAGGCCAACTTTTCAGTTACTTAGCTCAACTAGCCCTGTGACCTATTTGAGTGATGTTTCATATTTTAACTTAAACAATAATGGATGCACATGTAGAAGTATTCAATATAGATGCATGTCGTCCTGCTTAAGTGTTGTGGTTAACACACATGTGGAATTTGACAAGTTAATTTCTTCCTTTTTTTTCCCAACAAAACTTGCCACTCACAATTGTTGTTATCATTTTGTCCGAAATAAATAAATATGTGAGTATTGTCATAATGGAATTGTTGCTTGTTAAAATATAATTGAGACTTACTATTTTTCAAATAGTTACTTATTAACAAGAATACTGATGGATGCCTTAATCATATTGGCACTCAATTAATTTAAAATTAACTTAATATATTATAGGTCAACCCTATGTCATTATTTTCAAGGAACAATTTAGATATTATCTTAAATTTTTTAGCTATTTAAAAACTAATATAAAAGGATCTAAAACTAAATGTTAGATTTTTAAACTAAAATGTAAATGAGAAAATGTAATTTATGCAACTAAAGCTACCTAAATGGATCTTAATGCTTGCATCGCCTAAAATGCTATTATGCAATACATGTGTCTTAAATTATGATCGGGAGGGTTTTGAGACAAGAAGAATGCCATGTAAACTAAAGAAATTAATTAAATGGCAAAAAGGATTTATTCGCCAAAAATTAAAAAAAGTTTGATTCAATTTCAGTAAATGAGACAACTTAAGACTTTACATGAATTTAACTTTTTTAACTTGATTCAATCAGCTAGACCAAAGGGAAATGAAAGAAGAGTAAAATTAATAAATTCAATTACTTAATTAAAGCAAAGGAACCCTATAGGCATAAAGTCTAATACTTAATTCATAAATAACTCAAAGTGAACCAAATGCTACAACTATGGATTGGGCAAATTAAATTCATTAAAATCAATGATGGTTAATTCAAAATAATTTTAAAAAATATGTTTAAATTATCTAATTGAACAACTAGATAGGTTACCAACTCAATTAAACAATTAAGAAGTAAAAGGAATTACCCAAATTTACAAGAAACACCACAATAACAGTTAAATTAATAGTGAGAATTCAATTGTTAATTTAATTGACGAAACAAGGGCATATAAACATAAATTTTATAAATTCACGCAACACAAAATCATTCCACATATCAATCAAACCCAAAATTTAAAATATCTATAATCTAAAATTAGATTGCACTTAAATATTACAACTTAAAATCATTTAAAATTAAATAATTTTAAGCTTTTGAATTAAAAAATAAATAAATAATTACTTCCTTATAATCTTTAAGTGTAAATTTTAAGCTTTAATTTTCCATGTTTGTTCTAAATTGTCTCTCAAATTAACTCAAGTTCTCATGGACGAAGCTCTTCCTCCAAACTCCAATCAAATCACGACCATGGTAAATAATTAATGGATATGGAGAGTAGTTGCTGGGTGATGAAGAGGTGGGGTTGGCATGTGAAAATGGAAAGGAGAATGAACGAGAAGA